GAAGCCGTGAAAAATAAAGAAATGAGCTAAAATCCATCATGTAAAATTTTCCAAATAAAATTTAATATGTAACTGTTTGATTCTTAAACGAAAAGCACCTCTTTGATATGTGACTCATGGAGCTAATCCCTAAAGTTGATCTAACAAAAGCGCTCATATGAGAAAATGAATTAAGATTGATCGATGGGTAAAGAAAGCCTTTCTTTTCTTCTTCATGGCTTTTTGTAATACCCTTAAAAATGATTAGTGTATGTATACATAATCAAGGTTTCAATTACCTTTTTTTCTCTCTAGTTAACACACTTTTAGAAGCCAATCTCAGTGGTTTTTTTTCGTATGTGCACACACTATACAATGACACTCTTCACAAACACCAAAAAAGGAGGAAAAAAAGGAAAACAAAAATAAGGGGTAAAAGCAAAAAACTCTTACCCGGAGCTTTCTCTAATTGGGGTTTAAGACAAGATTGGAAATTACTCTTTTCTTGTTAGCAAAATTTTGGTGAGAGGGATATATTGTTTCTTCTCTATGAGAGATGGAGAGCCATTTGTTGAAGAAGTACTTTCTTTTGAGATGCATTTATCACTCCTTTGCATTCCGCATCGAGTAAAACCTCATTCATTATGGCCGCGGCATGCCCTCGAGGTTCATCTGATGCTCTTCTTAGCATAAACACCTGCACAACAAACCAACCCCCTTAAGATCATCATCATTATGTTCCAGTGATTACTTGTGAAAAAAGAGCGTCAATGTTGTTCAAAGAAGCGATTCTTTGTGTAATGATGTACACGATCGACTTTCTTCAGTTCCTACTTTCAATTTCATTAAGCCTTTAAGATTTTGTCACCTAATTGATCAAAGTGAGATGGTGTACCTGCCCGTGGTGAGTTATCTCCAAGCAGCCCGGTTGCTGGATAAACGGTTCTCCATCTATTTGAACAGGGAAAGGACTAGAGACATGTATTCTTATGACATTTCCCTGTGCTAGCCTCCTAGCCTGAGAAAGACCGACCTGTAGTGGGGAATCAAAAAGTTGTTGAATAAATTTCATATGAATCGTCAACCCTCACGTTGAATAGGGGATACTGCTGAAATTTCTGCAGAGTAAGAAGCAATTCGGGAAGAGATCAGACCTGTAGTTTGCCAAGATGCCATGCTCCACGGACACATACCACCTCTAGCGTCTTGTCATGCATTGACTGAATGCTAAAATTATCATCATGTTCATAATCATTTTGCCAAAGATCTACTCCACCCATATAGCTTCCAATGTTAAGTACTATTAGACCCTCTGAATCCTGAAGGGAAATCAGATTAAAGACATCAGTTTCTCGACAACAACAACAACAGTGACAGCCTTTTGGTGAAAACGACCCTATCCCAAGTATCAGAAAATCAAACTAGGCTATGGTTTTTACCAAGCGATCATACACTATCTCTCATACTCAAATTTCACCTATTATATGCTTAATGAGTAGTGGTCAGGATTTCCATATTTGCAGAGAAATCCTGTAAGAACACATCACACAAGACTGCGAGAGAAGGACTGGTTTCATTAGAGTTAGATACCTTTGGGATTTCAATGTCTTTTCCATCAACTTCAAGCCAAACTTGCCAAGGTAAATCGGCACATGCTCGATCCATGATATCCCTCGCACCTTCTTTAGCGTATCGTAATTTATTTACAAACTGCATAAGAAACAAGATAACAAAAATATATCAGCCGTTTCTTTATTCAAATCGGTTGTTTGTCAGATTAAGCCACAATGCCTACACCAACAAACAACCAAGTTGGGTAAGAAAAACACAACAGGAGTACCTGACTACAAAACTTCTCTGGATTTTCTTGCCGCATCATGTGAAATTCATATGCAACCTTGGCATCGCAGCCAATACCTAAACAAAGGAAATGTCAGCTATTGTTTATGATACATGACAGAGACCAAAACATAGATGCTTAATTACTGTACCTAAGTAATTCATCATAAACTTGTGGCCTTCTCTAGCAGGAAATTGTTCTGTCTTGTCTTCTACAATCTTCACACTCCATCGATCCAACATTGTAACTGCAGCATGATCAATGTCTTGCAAAAAAGTTCTTAGACTTCCTTGTCCGTCAACTACTGAAACACCTCTTCCCCACTGCAAAACTCTAGATAAATCATTTCCTGTGCCTAAAGGAAGAATAGCGACAGGTGGAGGGGATTCAAAATTGCGCTTCTCAATGGCATCAAGCACCCAAGCAACTGTTCCATCTCCCCCACACACCAAAACTCTAAAGTACTTTACTTTGCTACATAGGTCTAGACCAGCATCTGGCCCTTGACAAGAGCCAAGCTCAAAGACCTGTAACTCAGCAAAGCGATTTCCACTTAGTGATATTATACAGCGTCATTAACTACACAAGATAAATTAGAAGACAGTATGAATTTCATAATTCAAACCATCACTTGCTACTGAAATACTTTTTACAACATCTATAGTGGATTTCTGACAAACTGAAGCTCATTATTACCTGCACTGGATTTAATAGCATATTCAGTCTCCTGTGAAGAAAAGGACCGAGTTGACCTCCGCTCTTGGCATTAATAAAGACCAAAAGCGGTCTTGCATCCGGGGGCAAATCAACCAAGGTATATTTCTTCATAAAGTTAAAAGCAGCACTTTTACTTCGTTTGTGCCCCCCTATACCATTTTGCATTCCCTTAACATTAGACATGTCCGTGACCTTCTTTAAGCAATCTATGCTCCTATCTCTTCGTAGTTTCTTCACTACAAGTCCATTAACTACGTTTTTCACTGGATTGCTGATTGAATCCTCCAAAAGCTTACCACCAAAAGATTGGCCATTCCCATTTTTCCCCCTGTGGCGCTTTCGT